CACCACTACTCACTAGACCCGAAGTACATTCGGCTTGCCTATTCGAGGCCTTCACCAGGAACGAGTGAATTGGACCGATCCCAGACGACATTGTCCCCAGCGATTCTCTCATCTCCCCGCCTAACCCGCAAATGACTCTTCAATTTCTGGAGTGTGCACCAACACGTAGACACACGTTCGTGTGGACACTGCAAAAAAGGGCTGTAATGGAGAGCAGCCATCTTCTTTCAATAAATCATGTATCCCGCTAAGCCTTAAACATGGCAAAAGAGCCTGGATTGGACTTTTGGCACACAGATAGCACACACAAGCGAATTGAGAGACAATCCGCACTAACATCATTCAAGGATGAACGCATTGCTTGCGGGAAACTAGACAGCAACAAATATTAATCGACTTCACTGAATAAGAAGCCGATCACCCCACATCCTCACCGTCGAGCATACGCGCACACATACATACACACACACACTTACGTACGTACGTATATGAAAGCATACATACATATAAATGGGCAGCCAAACGCGCTGAAAGCTGGCAAACGAATGATAATTTCGTTGGGCAAGTAAGTATTCAAATGAGCAGACAGAATGACGAATTGTATGAATGCACACAGATGGAGTATGGAGTAAGATTGTGGATTTTGCTGTGCAGGCACACGGCCAAAGTAGGACGACTCATAATGAAACCCACCTGAAAATGGGCTAAAGAGTGAGTGATAATTGTGCCGGCAGCAAGATTTCCCAATTGTAGACATAGAGAAGCGGAAATATGCAAAAGCGTAAGCCTTCAATTGATGTTGTGCATAGGCTGGGGGATCGACGTACGAACAGACGAACGGATGGGCACTAAGACATTTCTTCGAGTTGGGCATGCAGGGATTGGCAGAAGAGCAAGCGAGATGATAAAGTCCCTGTTTCTCACACTGCTCTGCACAGTGGCTTGGCGAGACGACACAGTGGTGTGACTGAATGTGCCGCATTGGCCGGTGTAGTTGTGTGCATGTTCTATGCGAGATGCATGTGTGCTGCCGGTTTGCACACATTTGCAATTACTTGTGCCGGAGGTGAATTTGCGATGAGACGCTGTCAAGGCCTGATGTTGCATTTGAACACTTTTGTGACCAAATGACGTTGCGCTCTGCCGCATTTTTTGCCCATCCCCTCCCCCGGTTGAGCAACCCGACTCCGCTCATTCACACATACACATACACATGCACATACAGAGGGTGAGCTGTGACAAATGTGGGCTGTAATTGTGTTCGGATCTGCTCGCAAAAGGACACGCTTGGCTCCGCTTGACCTGCCAACCGAAGACTCCTTCCGCTAGGCCCCGGAGGGCATCGGAACCCATCCGCATCGGCTTGTCCGCTTGACTGACCCGGAGACTCGGTGTTGGTGTGCCAGACTACCGAATGCCGAGTAGCATCGGAAAACGGCCCATCGGACTCGGCCAACTCTGTGGACAACCTTCGAGGCCTCTTCACTACCACTGACCCCTGGAGTTGGTATGCTCCAGTAATCAGTTAAATAATCAGGCAATCGAATACTAAGTCGCTCAATCACTCAATCATTCAATCACTCAGTCATTCTTCCAATTAATCGGACATTCAGTCGGACAACCTATTTTTCTGTGATACTGTGAGTCAACTATCTATCGGCAAACCTTGGCGTAAAGGAATCTATCTGACGATCTACCTATCCATCCATCCATCCATCTATCAGCATATATTTCTATCACTCCGCCTTGTGTTTTTTCCTTGCAGAGACTATGATGCACACTTGGAAATCAATCTAATGATCAATAAATCAATCAACTAATAGACCCACCTATCAATCTAGTCAGCGATATATTTTGCGTATCTGTGTCTTTATCCATCAAATCGACGCTTTTGTATCTAATTAGTTTAACGGCTTGCCAACCAACTTTAGCCAGTCCATATTCACGTTTATGTGTGTGCCACTTGCACTTTATCCCCTTCTCCCAGTCGAGTGTGTGCGCCTGTATGCGTGCGTGCGTGCGTCGTGATGTGGCTAACCTGCAGGCTTCGCAAACCGGCAGGTCCTGTCAGACAGGTGCTTCATCCCCTACCGCTTCCCACAACACCAGCTCACACTAGGCCACATCATACCACACAACCCCACAACACTTCACATATCATAACACTGAACACGGACTACATTGGGCATCACCAAATCACGCGATAACACACAACACCACATCACATCACATCACACCACATCACACCGCATCATACCACATCACACCACTTCACATAACGCTGAACCACACTAAACCGCTGGGCTCTAAACCTCGACGTCGACCAATCCAGTGAGGCCTGCAGTCCTCTCATCTTTCATCCGCTTTGACAGACTTCGTCTGCTACTTTCTGGCGCAGGCCATCACGACACAATGAGTTGCCAGCCTCACGAATGGATGCACCACGAGTCCGAACGAGGGGGGAGGCGGACTGTTACAGCGGCTGGGTCCGAATTATGCGGCAGCAACTGATGGATGCTTGGCTGTAGCATGCTTCGGGTAAGTGAATGAGGCAAGTGGTGCGAGGCCGTTTTCCTCCTCCGAACCCCGTCTTGAAGGTGTTCAGCCAGGTCGTCCACGCTGAGGTTCCGGGATGGCATAGATCTGTGCCGGAGAGTACAGTCCGAGAAGAGAGGGTCATGCGAGACGAGAGAGGAGAGAGAAAAAAGAGGGACAGGCAGAACAATATAAAAGAGAAAATCAAGAGAGGTGTGTGTGTGTGAGAGAGAAAGAGAGAGTTGAAAAGGAGGTGAGAGAAGGGGGGAAAGAGAAGACACGAAAGTGATAGTGAAGAGAAGGAGAATGAGAATATAGAGGCCAGACGAAAGCAGAAAAGAGGACACACATGAAAGCAACATTGTCCAAACAAATCACACATGAACGCTGGTTCGATTCTGTCATTCCGTCTCGCCTCAGCATCCTCGTCATCTCGCCAACTCTCCTCTCTTCTCTCCCTTCCATTCTGCGTGGGGATATCTCCACTTCTTCCTGTCACCTTGTTCAGCCTACTTCCATTTCGAGTGAAAGTGTTGGGTGAAGAGATTCGATGACGGACGAAAGCTTTGCACCTTTTCACCGGAATCGAAAGAGGTTGCCCCGGAAACAGCGTTAGCATGAATCTTCCGTTGTCGTCTTCTGGTGGAACCGACTTTCGCATATCTTCACCCAACACTTTCACTCGAAAGGGAAGTAAGCTCAACAATTGTGAAACAACAGATTCCTCGAAACCCAACTTTTATTTGCATATATTTCCTGTCACCTTGTCCGTTTTGGGACCTGAGTCTCACTGGGTCCTCGTGATACCAGCAAAATGTCCAAGTTTGGACTTTTTATTCGCTCTGCCCGTCCCATAGCACCAGCCTGGCCAGCCGTCCAGCCCGCCAGCCCGCCAGATCCAGGTCGGCAGATGATCCCATCAAACCTAAATCGTCTCTCAAATGCAAAAGTGTGGCCATTTAACTCTTGCTTCAGGCAATCGGGTGTCATTAGACTATGGATTCGATGGAATCCCACTCATCTCTCAGCTCTGGAACAATCGTTCTGCCCTCCTGTCTGTCTTTAGGCTTGATTCCTTCACTTCCTGGTTCAATCCGACTTGACGTGAGGGCAAAGTACCATTCTGGTTGAAGAAGTAAGGTCAAGTTTGGTGATTTGCTGCTTCGCCCGGCCTACACGAAGCATGTCTCTGTTGGCCGACCGTAGGTCAGGAGGCATTGAATCACCTGCCCCTCTCGAGTGCACTCTGCCGACATACAGACGCATCGACGTCAGTGAACATTAAATTTGACACAGTCACATTCATGTAAACGCAAACACACAAGTGGGCACACTCGGGCCTCTGAACTCCGGCCTACTGGCAGACGTAATCATCTCCACTTTTTCCGATGGAGCAACCCTCTTTCCTTGCTCTGAAATGCCGTTTCAGGACAGATGAACCTCCCAACTGAGGTATTCTCGTGCAGCGACTACTTCTAAATCAGTCGCTCAGCTGTACAGAGGTCTGCAGTTGCGTTGCTAGGGGGGCCGGTTCGACTTTGGTTATAAACAAAAATGTCAACTTCCCACTGTCCCGGGCTCAGAATGGCGCGGGCAGGAAGAGGTGACTGTCTTATCACTTTCGTAACACTTTCAACTAACGAGCTGGCTACGATTAGGCCCTACGCCTACCTCTCCAACCACACCAATTGTGCACACAATGTGGCAACCGACTGAACACCCATTCATACTGACTTGGTCTGCGGCCACCGGTCCGCCGCATAGCCCCATCTTGCTTATCAAGTCAGCTGAAAAAGCAGCCACTTGGCAGGCAACCAGACGCATTCAGAGGTCGCCAGGTCTTTGCGAATAGTTTATGCGCTATTTTGATGGTTGTGGAAAGTACCCCTGACCCAAGCACGACACATCAATTGTCATCTATTCAACAAGAACTGTATTCACCCTCAGTGATGGACACCTGAGAATGCAATTGTCCCACAAGTTGGTGAGTATGTCGAACAAAGCTAATGAATCTGAAGCAGGCATTCTCGTCCCAACTGGACTGAACCCCACTTTAACTGATGTCACCAGCACCGCAAAGTGAAAACAGAATCTTGCATTTCGTGTTTGAGTAGAACTTCGAGACTACCAGTAAATCAGTAATATGAGATTTATTCACCCTATTTCGTGTAAGTTGATGAAGGACTGGTAGTCGAATTTTCCCACAATGGTATGAATCGATCTGACGTTTACATTCAATTTCACATTGCCTTGCTTTCCCTAAAGTTGTTATCATCCAGGGTAGACGGCCGTTTCGACCTCGCGTTGGTCTTACCAACGACAACGTCAGCTCAACTCATATCATTGTGGGTAAATTCTACCCCCAGTCCTTCATCATTTTAAACGAAATAGAGCGAATACATCTCATACTACTGATTTACTGGTAGTCTCGAAACTCTACTCAAAAACGAACTATAAATAACGCAGTCGATTGTTATAGCAAATATACATTTGCTTCATCGACAATCCCACCCAATAATATGATATGGCAAAAGACCTGGCCTTGCTTGAAATTCACATCTGCCCTGTGAGCCAAGGGCACTCGTGGCAATGTCGTCGAGTGGTCAACGTGTCAAGCTCCCATTCTGCACTATCACGGTTCGACTCCCGCTGGGGGTGTTGACAAGACCGATGCGAGGTCGAAACTGCACTCCACTGGTGCCTGGATGAGAACAACTTTTGGGAAAGTTAGGCTGTGTGAAATTCAATGGAAGTGTCAGCTCAACTCATAGCATTGTGGGAAAATTCTTCTTCTACCGGTATACTTTTGTCAGGCTAACTTTACACCAAACCACCAGTGGATCGCCGAGTACAGGAGTGAGAATCAAGGTAGAACTGAGAGAAATTGAGTAATATCGAAAGGTCTACTCATCTGGTTGTGGACGAACTCGACTATCAACCCTTAAATCATAGTAAGCGACCTAGGCATGACTAATAGCCTCGGAACGTACCTATACCTGAAATGCGTATTTGCAATGCCTGTCGACGACGCTATTTATATTCTTAATGAGTAGGTTTTCGAGACTGTCAGTGGATCTCGAATATGAAGTGTAATCTGTTTCCATCCAGCGTGGACTGCAGTTTCGACACGCATACGTCTTAGCAACATCCATAGCACGACTCAAGCTATGACGGTATAGCGCGTAATCTCGACAGCTTAACCACTACATCACAATTCTACGAGCCCCATTGAGTTACAGGGCAGATGTGAATTGCCATATCACATTCTTTGGTGGTATTTTCGATGAAACAAAATTATATTTGCTATAACATTCAGCTGGGTTACTTATTTTTCGGTTCTAAGTAGAGCTTTGAGACTACCAATAAATTAGCATCCGCTCTACTCGTATCATTGTAGGAAAATTCAACTATCAGTTATTCGTCACTTTCAGCGAAACTGGGTGAATATATTTCATATAACCGAGCTACTGGTAGTCTCGAAACCTTACTTATAAGCGAAAAATAAGAAATTTCAATCACTTCAGATCTCTTTGAGTGTGCTGTGGAGCTGAATGCTGAACTGTCCGGTTTCGAGTCCCATTGTGGGTGCTGGTGAGACC